GCACCACTTTGAAGTGTTACAAAAGCAACTTTTTATTCAAAGAGTGGGAGTGAGCCCACCATACTCGCCTCAAGTTTGCTGCTGGCATTTGCACTTCCCCCAGGGTCTGAGCCCCCTTAGTCCCTCAAGCATTTTTGCTCAGGTTAGGCTGTCCCTGAGCACAGATGTTGTGTGTAGGAAACAGTCAGTCGTGTTCACAGCATTGAAAACAAAGCTTAAAAATTAGTGCACATACTCCTGAGCAAGCCTAAAATGGCAGCTGGGAAACTACCTCTTGCTGTGTGTTGTGAGAAGGGCTGCGCTTCTGAAAGCAGCCTCTCTTTTAGTGAGAGATGTCAGACCTTTTAATGAGGTAATGTCAAACCTGTGCTTGTTTTCCTTTCCTTCTAGTAACATGGGAGGTAGGTATTACAGTCAGGTGGTGAATGGTTGGGTCCACAGTAGACTTGTAGATCTTGTATTTGTGCCAGGTGGGAGTAGAAGGTCAGATTTTGAGGGCACTGATCTCTGTGGGGGTCTGCTGGAGCTGTTGATGGGTTTGCCCTAATAACGGGATGGGACCTTCACAAACCTAGTAACAAGACATTTCTATGCTACCCCATTAACAACATGAGAACATGGAGCTGATGGCCCTAACAGAAAAGGCTAGTTAGTTTTCTAGAAGTTGTAATTTCTAAACATTTCTAATATGGACCAAAATTCATGTACTGCCCTATCAAAGTCAGACCAAGCATGGAAAAGCTTTTGAAGTGGTTTCTACCAAAAGAGGGAAAAGAGTTTAGCTTCTGTGCCCTGGATCTGTTCTTTCTCCATGCCCTCCATGAGGGCACTTGGCAGTACAGCTTCACTCCTGGCTACAACCCTGCAGGTGGTGGAGCTTCTGTGTCCCCAAAACACCCAGTCTCAGCAGACTGCAATAGCTGTGCATTTGGAGGGGTATGACTGTGGTCTCTGACTGCTCATCAAGATGGGAGAGGACCTGCTCTCCTCTGCTTCAGACTCTGGAGGACATAAGGAGGGAACAGAATGATTTTCCTAAGAATTCATGGGATGAAATATACCTTTTACTTAACCCACTTCCCAGTCTCCACCCAATCCACCAATGCAGCCCAGTTGTTCCCTCTTTCCACTCCAGACCTTTGCCCACTTCCACCTGAACAACTCTGGCTGCCCCCAGGAGAGAGTTTCATGCCAGTGAAGCACTGAAGCTGCCCTCTCCCTGTCTCATTGGTGCTGCTGGCTGGCTCACCCCAAGCAAAACATGATGCCAGCTCTGTTGTCTGGACCTAACTGGGACATTGGAAATGGCTTTGCAGAGTAGGAGACCATTCTAACTAATTAGTTAATTAATTAATTTTGGATAATCACCACTAAATGCTTCAGAACACACCAGATGCAGAGGAGCAGAAGGTGCAGTGCTGCTGCTCCTCAGCTGACATTGCCACCAGGGTCTTGGCTGCTAATGACATGCATCTGCTCATAGGAACCTTGCTGCTCAGGCAACCTAAGCAGCAGGTTTCAGGTGTCACATCACCTCATTTTTCTCTTCAGCCCAGGTTTACTGCTGCAAAAGAGCCTTTTCAGCAAGTAGAGGGTTGCTGAGCAACGAAGTATTGCCTGGTGGGCTGTGGGAGGCCTGCATCTCACTGCCATGTACAGAAAAGCAAAAAAATACAGGAAAAAAAAAATATTTGGTGGAAAAGGGGAGGCTCCTGCTCTTTCTGAGGTCTTTGGTTGGTCCTGCCTAGGTCTCACTTCCTGCAGGACCCAGGATAAGATGTTGGGTGCCCCATAGAGCAGCTTCACAGGACAGGGTGGAAGTCAGACCAGGGTGTGGTGCAACATGATTATTCTTAATAGTATTTTTCATTAATCACATCCAAGTTAATAATTAAACTATTGCCAAGAAACCACTACAGGTTTGATAGTGAGCTGCTTATCACTTCAATCCCAGTTCAGTCTGGATGTGTGGATTAAGAGCTAGAGCAGCTTGACACATTTTCAGTTCTTTCAAAATGAAAAATGTGTCTTTTTGAATGCCACAAAACTCATAACACTTGGGAGGATGTGATCACTTCCTTTTTCTGGCTTTTCCTTCTGATTGCATGATTATGAAAGAAACATCTGCTTTGAAGTGATCTGCAACAGAAAATTTTTGTTCCAGTTTGGTTTGTAATGGACAACTTCTATTTAACACTATTATTCTCTCCACCCTGTTTCTTTCCCTTTTTCTCTTGCTGAAAGATGAAAGATAAAGGGAGAGGAGGGGGGAAAAAACAAGCAAACAAAACCCACTGCCCAGACTACAAATGCAGACAGAAGAGGGGCCACTGAGGTGTGGGTAGTGTGAAACACCATAGCTGAGCTAGTAGAGAGTGTTTGTACTTCAATTCACAATGAGGAGCTTTGGTGTTTTGTGTCTGTGTGTGGATTTTTCTACATTTTGAATCAATAAAAATACTTACACGGGAATAAAAATATGACATTTTTTTGCCTCACCAGGAAATAATTCCTGTTGTTGGATAAGCCTGGATGTAATTAATCAGAAGCATAAATAATCTACTCTAGTAATATTACAGGTAAATAGGTTTTATTCTATACCTGTGATATTTATTTTTTTTTAATTCTCCCTAACTCTATTCTTCTGTTGCAGAA